TTCGGCTTGTCAGCGGGAACGGTCCATTGCGGGAGTTTCGTGACGGCTGTGGTTGGCTCAAATCGTGGGAAGAGCCTCGGCTCGGTATGGAGTTACATAACAACCGGTTGTCTGACCCAAAGATAGACAGAAGTTTGAGATAGTGCCTCGGCCTCACCCGAGGGGGAAGATACGCTCATATACGTACCTCCACTGGAACTCGACGTTTTTCCTCGGGACGCTGACTGTGCGTTTCCACACCTCGTGTGCGATCGGGCACCTTTGGGGTTAGGCCTTCCCGGCAGAAATCCACGTTAAGCACCTAGAGACATTTGTCCCAATCAGTTGTGCAAATATTTTAATGGAACCAATTATACATGTTTTCAATCTTACTCCTCTTCTTTTTTTTTTTGTCGTGTCTAGTAAGATTCTCCCAGATACCTGGAAATCAAGTTATATTTTACTGCTGGCTAACTCTGACAGTAGACAATCTATTGAGAAACTATAGAGGCATGGCGCCCTGTCTAAACTGTTTGAAAAACTTGCTACAAAGAGATTAGTTATTAATATTAAATCGCTCGTCTCACCATCTGTCGTTACTAATCTCTTAGAATTTTTTTGCCATCCCTTTGACTTGTTCATGTGTGCAAGGCATGCAGACAGATGTTATTTATATTGACGTTAGTAGTTAGACGTGTGATGTGTTATTAATTTTGTTATTAAATTTTAAATTCATTTTACTCCTGCAAATGTATATCGGTTTCGTTCTTCTCTTATGGTATTGTAAACAAAGAGTCAAGAGGAAATTTGGAGATCCGCAAGGTAGCCATCTAGGCACGTTGTTCTTTTGTTTATTTATAAATGATTTGCTGAACGTAGTTCAATGTATGCTGACGATGTTAAGCTTTTTCCCTTCTCGCCACACTGCGAAGATTTCCGTCGCCTTGAGTTCGATTTAATTTTTAGACTATATTGCTGAGCAGACTGTTCACCATCAATTTTTATTGTTGCTTAGATGGTGAGCCTTTCGAGTCGGTGCTGTCATTTAATGATCCTAGGGATGTTTTTAAATAGTAAACTGACACTTTAACTCCACGTGAAATCTGTTGCATGCAAAGCTGGATCTGCAGTAGTTAGTTTCTTTAGAAGGCGGCCAAAGGACTTTGAGGACTCTTACGTTACGAAAAATCTCTACACGGCTTTAGTAAGATCGTTAGTTGAATATGATGCGTTTGTAATTTGGTCTCCCAATGACAATTATTACATTGATATGGATGAGGAAACCCGGAAACAATTAGGACGGGATACTTATCGAAAATTCCCTCGGTATGAACACAGTTTACTTTTGATTCATTTACTTACTATTGAATGCAGAAAATTGGTTCTTGGAATAAGATTTTTAATGCAACTTATTCAAGTTGATATTTCATCAACAGGCAGGGCTTCAAGGAAATGCATCCCTCTTCGGGTTGTCGTGGTGTAGCAGTAATTATGAGCTCTTTTCTCCTTACCGTGTTTTACGTAAACAATTTAATGACTTATATGTATATTATTATGTATCTTAGGCTGAATCTCTGATTCCCATGATTTCATTCTTTGCAATATACTGACAATTATATTTATTATGTAGTTGCAATGAACAGTTCTTTTTGACTATTTCCTTGATTTAAAATTTAATTCTTTATGGGATTAACTTTGCTAGTAAATCCTAAAACTTTTTTTGACTTAAAAACGGATTATTAGTGACGATTAATATACAGAATTTGTGATATGATTAAAAAATAGCTCCTTCAACTGTGTACACTAGAGGTGGGGAAAAGTAGTTCGTAGTATCTGAGCCTCTAAAAAAGATTTCCTCTTTGTCTTTAAACAAAACTTTTCTCCAAAGGAAAATTGTTTGTTTTACGGCTTCGAAAAGAGCAAACAGTAAGCAAACAGTATATGTCCCGGTTTGTCTAATTTATGTCCACTTTCGCTTTATTTAATTAAAATTTACAATTCACCTAAAGTCATTATCTTTCTATCTTGAATAAACAATATCGTTTTCAAGCTCACTGGCAAATTAAAGAAAATTCTTATCTGAAAAAGATAATAAATTCGTATACAGCTTGCGATAAAAAACAGAGATGAACGATATATGTTAAAAGATAAGTCCATTGGAAATATTTTGACTTCCAGTTATCATAATTTCCTTCAAGTCGTAACATTGTGTTGAGTAAAATATTTGAAAATTTTCGCTTCTTGCAACGTCTTACTTATGTTTACGAACATGTTACAATTGTTTTTATATCCCGCACTAAAACGTATATTAAATTCACTCAGGGAATGTATCCTACACGTGTAACATGGCGATAGTCGGAGATAAATGAGGAAGAATTGGCAGCAGTCTAGTGAAAGTGTGTCCAAATCGTTTAGAGTTATGTCTTCATCACTCCCGCATCATCGTTTACTATAGATAGGAGGAAGGCATTGAGATATGAACTGCCGAGCATTAACTCGGTATCTCGGTATCAGCTACTCATATGGATTTTATCACTAAATAGACAACACAAAGCTCAAATATTGTGTGCACTCTTGACAACCGTAAAATTTTCGGGTCACTTTTATTACCATAACCCTGAAAAAAGAGATCTAACTTACGATAAGTAAGAAAAAAAAAAAATATATAAAAAAAATTTAATCAACATTTGATAGATAGAAACATTTCCCAAAGCCAGCTGAGCGGTGATTGTAAATTCAATTGACCAACGCACACATTCACAATTCAAAGCCACATTTTTCAATTTCTCTGCATTAATTTTATGTTTGCGGGTAAATATCAAATATTCGCCTCAAGGCATATAAAATTTTCTTCATATTTAAATTGTAAATTTAATTAATTGTGAATTTATAAATTAATTTCAATTTTAATTTTTTTATCAATAAAGCAGGCATTTTGAATACTATGACGAGAGACGCAGTCTTTTTCTCAATTTGCCCGTTTTTCTACCTTTCTGCCTATCTGTCTGTCTCCCTGTCTGTCTATCAGTCAGCCTCTTTGCCTACATGTCTGCTCTACATCTCTATCTCTTTGTCCGTCTGTCTGTCCACTCATAATTTTTCGACAAAATTCATTTGATAATAGAATTTCGCCATGACGTGAAAAATTTGGATTGGCTGAGTTCATCTTTTTGATCGCATCTCATACAAAATCCCTAAGAGAAAGCATGCTTTCAAGTATAATTTTTAATGCCTTGTAACGAAAATAACTAAAAAAATTTGATAGAAACGCGATGTATGGGTGATGTGTTCAATGATCGATCCATTCCCGACTGCAGTATTTTTACTTGTTTCTCTTTTGAAGAAAATCCATACTTACCACATAGATCAGATGAAGACACTTATCTTTTATTTTCTTCAATATTATTAGAATATATGCTGCACACACAGCGATAATAGTGATAAGTTAGCGATTATTTCAAGTTGAAGGCGCATGTGAATGCTTTTGCTTCTACTTATAAATCGAAAATGTTATATAATTAAAACGCAACCCCTTAGAGATCAAGTATTAATGAAAAGTTTAAATTAACGAACCTAAACAATAATATCTCGCCTGTACGCTTCGAAAAGGATAGCGCCTTCGCTGAAGCGTAATCCATTAGGATTACAACTTAAAGAGTTGCACTCTGTTGAAGATTGGATACTCCACTGGACATTGATTTATATGATCAACGCATTACGTTGAGCTTAGTGTCCAGCTAATTACGCGATAGACTAAACTTCAAATCGAGGCACGTGGTAGATGTACTGCTAAACTTTCATTTATAAATCCTTAAAAAAATTCAAACCCCAATGAAACATTTCTTTTTCTAAAGATGAATTCATTTCGTTTTCATACGTATGGAATCGCATCCAGAAACTCTGCTGCAACACCATCGGTGCTTCAATCGTTCGTTTAGCAAGGCCCGTAAGGTGAATCCATACACCTGAAAAATTCACTCTAGCCAATCTGTTCCGATAATTGATGGCGAATATGAACAAGCGTTGACCGTCATTGAGATGAGGCAACTTACGTACTTACTTACTTACTTTTTTTTCTGCCATCAAGAGATCAAAAGTGTATTCATTTTGGGAAAGCATATGCAACGCCCATCATAAATCTTCAGACATGCTATGAAAACTAAATGTATACACTTGATCAACAGGAAATTCTAAATCGATCCGCCTCAACGACGGTGTGTCTGTCTGCGCTTAACATTCTGCTAATTGTTATATATGGGGAAAAACATTGGAAGCTCTTGCACGCATATCGGTATTACAAATCACTCAAATCGTTCAGAGGACACGCCCACAGTAGAACATAGACTGAAAACATTATCTAAAAGAAACCAAAAATAGGATCCTTACTCTTTTCTTATAGAGACCGGGGTAAAGGTTACAATTTCCATATCTTACAGATAATCACATCACAGTACCGTTATGAAATACGAAAAAACGGTCCCACTCACCCGATATTATAGAAAACAGAAATTCAATTTAATTTTTTTTTTTTTTTTTTTTTTTTTTTTTTTGTTTAACAAATTTATTTATTCATTCAATTCTTCGCTTTCCGTTAACTTAATTCAAGTACATGCAAAAAAGAAAGGTTAAAAAAAAAAGCACTTATTAGATAATAGAAACTAATTAAATCGGTCGGTCGCCACCTTTAAGAAACTAAACACAAATCAATTAATCATCAGAGTGTAACATAAAATAATCCTCTACGATTCCAACGATTTTGAAAATAGAAATTGATTTAAATGATGAAATGTTAAAAAAAAAAACACATATATATATATATATATATGTATATATATATATATATTTATATTTAAAAAAAAAAAAAATATCGGCGCGCGAATTGCAAAATCATATGACGGAAAACTAAAAGCTTGTAAACAACGAACAACAAATAATTTCATGAAATCGTCATGAGTTTGAAATTTTCTATTATGCCACAATCATTTGTACACACATTGGCATATATAAACAATGAAACTCACCGCACGTGCATCACATTCCATGGTAATGTGATATAATCCCATGAGCAAAAGGCTCCAATAGAATGAATAGAAATGTTGACGACGTAACATCATGATGTTGAAAAGCAAAACACGCACAAATAAAAAAAATATTTTCAAATTAGTTTTTTCAAATTGTTTTATTATTTTTTTTTTTTTTTTTTTTTTTATTTTTTTAATATTTTTTTAAATTTCCTCCTGTGGGAACTTTTTACACAATTAATTAGTTCATTAATTAAATTAATGTTTATATAGTCTTTACGGTTCTTGTGGCTTAAAGTTTTTTTTTTTTTTTTTGTCTTCAATTTGAATAAATATCTATTAAAATATTATTTACTTCTTTTGCATTTAAGAATAAATTTTGAGAAGAGTGAAAGCGTTTTTGGCGTTATTGCGTTACCTTACGCTTTCAACAACCGCTTGATTCTGTCTTAAAATCTCAACTAACATATCCTTAAAAGCAGAAAATCGCATAAAGCTTCTACTACATTAGTTGAATTCGCCGCAGCGAATAGCTCGCCTTATATCATTGCTCTCTCTTCTCGTTGTTATCTCGTTGTCTCTTACTCTCTCCTATTGCTTGTAGTTTGCTTTCTCAGTTATTTTCTGTTTAAATTTCCTTCCTTCTGTCGCCTCATGCTAAACATTTTATACTTTTGTTTATATTCATAATGGTTAACATTTTCAACAAATACACGCACATCGCATGCGTGTTTATATATATATATATATATATATATATATATATATATATATATATGCGTATTTGTATGCGTGAAATTGTGTTTCTCTCAAGGACACTTACAGTTTTAACGTGCAGTATGTTTTATTTATTTATTTATTTATTTATTTTTATTTTTTTTTTTTCTGTTAATTTTTTTATTAGTACTTTCTTTTTTCTTTTTCTAGTTTTTGCTCTTTTGTTTTCGTTTCACATAGATTTGGTTTTTATTATGTTAATCACACTCAACGTGCTTAAGCTTCTGTAAACTGACATAAAACATATAGTATTGTGCCTATATATATATATATATTTATATATATATATATATATATATATATATATATATATGTATGAAAAGTCCACCGTAATAACTTAACGTGTATAGGTTAGTGTTTTTGTTTTTTGTCCCTATTTCATTGTTGTCATTGAGTTCAAGTTTCTATCTTATATTCGGTACACTCATCTAAATGGTTGTTGTAAATGTTATCTATACAAAGCTGCCATGACCACACATATAGACATATACGTACTACTTAACCAGTCTCTAAGGCTTTTTTGAGATAATTAAAAATAAGTGTTTGCGCATATATATATAAAAAGCCAAATATGTAATGGATTCCAGTTTACCATTTTTTTTTTTTTTTTTTTTTCCCCAAATACCGCTGAAAACTAAATGTTTTTCAGTCAGTTTTGTCTTTGATGTACTCGTCGTCACCACCTACCTCCACAATCGTCTAGAGAAATAACTTAAAACTTTGCAGTCGAACAAGACCGATTATTAAATACATTATAACACTTTGGCTAATATAAATTTTTTTCTTTTTTTTTTTCAATTATTTTCGTCATAAATTATTTAAAATTAGTTCATATTACCATCTAAGGGCTTAGCTTTCGATTGGGAGCGATTCAAAAATATAGACGAATGTAATGCAAAACTTTTCCAAAAAACAGTCGCAAACACTTTAATAGAAAATTCGAATTTTCAAAATAGGGCATTATACCGATTCAATCCATTGCCAATAGCTCGTATGTTCGAAATGTGTTAGTTCGAATGTAGAAAATTAAATTGAAATTTTTCGATCTCAATTACGATCTGTAATTGAATTTGAACACAAGCTTATATTAACATACGTTAGATAGTCAGGTAGGACGGACAGACATGATTATATCTGTTCAGAAAATAAAGCTTCAAGTTACTTTGATGAATTTTAATATATTAAAAGCATAAAAAAAAAAAAAAAAAAAATTCTTAATCAAAAATAGTATATGAAATCTTTTACATATCCTATGTATAAAACGGAAAGAGTGACAAGTTTTATCGGATATAAAAATTCCGGTTCAAAATATACGGAAACATTAGAAATTATTGCAATTATTTCATTCTACATTAACTGCACTGAGGATTATTAAGCATAACGCAGGCAAGAAGAAAATATTCGCCTTAAAGCGAATTTCATATATTCTGCATTTTCTTAAATTCAAAACACAGCTTCAAAGTGCCTTTAAATGCCTTTTATTTACGCATATTACCCAGAAGAAAAAAGAAAAGGGGAGAAAATTTTAGCTCATTGCCGTATTTCCTTCGTCTGTAATGCTCTTACAGTTAAATCGTTTTATGCAATATAGAGCTCCAGGTGAGCCTTGTCGACGATGCGATGGATATGTCGAAATTAATTTAAAATTTTACTTTATTTCGGTATAGATTTACTTTGTTGCGTCTCGTTAAGAATGAAGAGTATTGTCAGTGGCGGGATAAGCTGGTCGCAAGTGCAACGATAATTTTGTCTTTCGTTAAGCCGCGACTACGCACGCGATGAGACAAGCGAATAACAAATTGCTGGACAGTGCGGCGAAAATAAGAGTTAGTTTTATGGTTTCCATTGCGTTATTTAGTTTCTTGTTTTCCTGTAAATAAATAAATAATATATATATTTTCTTTTTATTGTTGTTTCTTTAGAAACTTTTAATTTTTCGTCAGTATATCAATTGTAACAATTAATTGCGAGCAGATAAGAATCATGACCACCAAGTCAATGTTTGTGGGTTACAATCTCAGATTAGCAGATATTGAGGAATACTGCTTAGCCGGTAAAAGGTATAACACTTGCCGATTGGGCATACATCGACTAGACAAGAACTCCTCTCCGTCCCTAATTTGTTTCTCTTTCCTTATTGCTCTTTGACGGTCACCGGATTCTACTTATAGGCGACATCCTCTCATTGATTGGTTATGTTAAACGAAGAAAGAGAAAAAAAACTCTGACTGGCTTTCCCTTTTCTTTTTTTTTTTTCTAAGAGAGACGAGTACTTCTAATATTGCCTTAAAATTATTGCCACGCATTAGATCGGAATTTCTAATAGAACATGAGCTCGGTGCCTTAGGACGTGCTCTTCTTTGAAGGATAAGCCCTGGGTAATACGAAAGAAGATATGGCATATTGAAGAAACCCATTAGTCTTATTAACGGTTGTTGGACTGAAGCGGCATTACGGGAAAAAAATCTCGATATTATTACTTTTGGCATATTGTGCTCGTTTTTCGATTCAGTTGTGTCAGCGGGCTCGCTGGTTTCGTTTAGCTGAAGCAAATCGTAATAATAATACTCAGCTCAGTTCCTCAAGGCGGGTTTTCAAATTTATTGCCGTTATTAATGGTTGGCTTAGTTGGCCTCAAGTTTATTTGCACTTTAGATAGTCTAAACCGTTTATTATTCCTCCTCCATCGTTATAATGCGGTAGCATTGACTTTTCTATTAAATATGAAAGTACATACAAGCCACGTTTATAATTCTTAGCATAGAAGTCAATAAAAAATAATTTCTTTCTTTCTTCCCCAATAGTAACCCAATAAGTTTTATACGTCGTTTAACGCTTTTTTTTATACAATGATGATGAGAAAAATGCGAAAATACGCTTCAATTTCCGCAGTGATTTCATCATTTGTTGCATATTTTTTTCTCCAGAGCATTCTTTTCTAGTTTGCAAACAGACGATAGTCACTTGGGATCATACCTGTAAAATAAGATAATTGTGCAACTAATTCGACATTAAATTCATACAATTTTATCCTTGTTGCCATCGATTTGCATTTTGCCCGCTACACATTGTATCCATTTGGAAAATAGTTTCCATATGCCAGGAAGAAATTACCTATAAATATTCTTACGATATTGTCTATTTCGTGCAGCTTCACATTTCGATTATCAAGAATTATTTTTCGAATTTTTTTTTAAACAAACTCTTGTATAATCACCTATTTAGAGCATCCTTTGCGCACAATATTATCGGTATTTGCAGGAATTTGTTTAAAATCAGCAAACCATCCACAAATAATTGTATTCGTGAGAGAAGAAGTGCATCCATAACACTTTTTTCATCCAAACCGATTCACTTGGATTCGGTTTTTTTTTTTCTCATCAAAAAGCAACATTTCATTAAAGTACGAGTTTCGGGTACTTCAAGAAAACTAATGTAATCAAAACTGCCTATAAATATTGACAAGCATCGTTTCACAATTACGATCATTCTACAAATAATGTGAAAATGAAGATCTGCCTCTCAGTCCCGAGAATTATTGACTTACGAGTGATGTTTTTTAGACCTTATGGCGACTATTCCTTTTGTTGCCTGTAAAGCATAAAAATATTGGTTTTACGTTGAGAAATCGCACTTTTATTGATGCTCAGAGAGAAAGTTACGTTTGTCGGTAAATCTGTCAAAATTAATTTTTTAGCATTGATAAGCTTTGTCATTTGAATATCTTGCACGTGAGCAAACAGATGGGCTTAGCTGAGCTTAGCTGAGCTTAGCTACTTAAGTTTCAGTTTTTTCCTTTCAAGTTCTACGACTTTGACAGTTTCAAAGAGCACTGAGGCAGCGAGATTGTTATTAGCATTTTGAGCGCCATTCCGTACTAATCACATACAAGTTGCTACAAGCGCCACAAACTGCCATACAAATCTCTCACTTTAATTAAACATACGCAGCCAAGATTGAGACGTTCGTTTTAAAGATCTGCTATGCTCATGCTACACTTTAATAAGGATGTAAGATGCTATCAATTATCAAATCGATGAATATGTTCTTTTTGAAAAATTGAAGCATCTTGAAATTTTAGGCCATCCTTGATATATATATATATATATATATATATATATATATGTATTGCGATATTTTTGGCTGCTTTTCTATTAAAATTTTTATACCCTTCTCTTTTATTTATTTATTTAGTTTTTTTTTTGGCATTTACTTTGGGGAAAATTATGTAAAATATTTAAATAATGAAAATAGACGATGAATTTATGACTGGAGCAATTTTCACTCGAGTCGTTCGCGTTGGCAAGCAACAGCAATTAAAATGTTGTAAATGTTTGTTTTAAAAGCATATTTATTTATAGCTTTTATAAAAGCTTTGCAAAGAACCAAAATTTC